ACAGGTACGTGGAATTGGTATAATACAATATCAAAAATTATACAAAATTATAATAATACAAAACATAGAACAATCAAATGTACACCGAATGAAGCTCGAATGGGTACAAGCAATATTAAATTTAATATACAAATAAATGATTCATTATATAAACCAAAATTTAAAGTTAATGACAAAGTAAGAATATCTAAGTATAAACATATATTTAGTAAAGGATATACACCAAATTGGACAACAGAAATATTTACAGTTTCAAAAGTTTTACAGACAAATCCAGTAACTTATCAACTAAAAGATGGATCAGACAATATCATCTTAGGTGGTTTTTATGAGCAAGAAATTAAATTAACTGATTTCCCAGACACCTTCCTCGTTGAACGTATTATAAAAAAAGTTGGGAATAAAATGCTTGTTAAATGGTTAGGTTTTGATTCAAGTCAAAATTCTTGGATAACTTCATCAGATATTTTAAAATAAAAATTTTTTATGTATAAGTTTTTTTTGTTCACATATTTTTTTAAATAAAGATTTTTTTACGTATTAATTAAATTATTTTGTCAGTTTGTAATGCCCATACGCCAATGTATTTATCCCATCATTCATTATATATCTTTTATCATCATTGGCACTGAGAACAAGCTTGTTCATTGTTTTCGAATGAACAACATGTTTATTCGATTGAATGAAATTCATGTTTCTATGAGATTGTTTTTCCTCAACAGATTTATGGGTTATAAAAGCATTTAATATCTCTATGTAATCAATAAATTTCATATGGTTTTTTATTATATATTTTTTTACACCCTTTGCTTTTTTTTCTACAGTATCATCTATGGTTTTATAAGCGTATAATTTCGGTCTCAATGAAACGAATTCTTTAAGAATTATTGATTTAAGTTCGTCTTTGAACATTCCTGGTTGGCCCTTATGAATTTCACTAAAGCAATAATGGTCTTTAGGATAATTAGATGTGTCAAAATATGGTAATAAATCATTTTTTAAATCATCGAAAAAATTTACTGTTTGAATAGAATATATCAATGAATCTGTATCCGAATATAAAGAACTAATTTGTTTACCATATTTCTTTTTCATTACATTATAATGAAAATCATACATAAAAGTTTTCGAAACGTCTAAAATTGCTGATCCTACATAAATCGCCTTATCGAATTTAATAGTTTCCTTATGTTGATGAATAGCCATAAGATTCTTAGAGTATATAGTTCTATCCTTAAAATTAGTTTTCGCCATTAATTTATTAGCTTTTTTTTCTGACGAAACCAGTTTTATAGAAGTTCTTGTTCGAACATTTTCCATACATTTTCCAAAAACACTATTAATTAAAAGCTTCCAGAATTCTTTTTCAAACTCGTTTTTAGCTTCTGTTCTCATTTTAGTACAGAATTCAATGTACGATGCCATCCATTTCTTTTGAGAAAAGCGGATAGCTCGATGAATTTTTACAAGTTTAAGACCGTGAGAAATCGCTTGTTTTAAATTTTTATAATGAACAATATAGTTTTTTTTCGGTAATAGTGTAGTTAACAATTTCTTAACTTTAGAATTTGGTGGACATTCGTTCAACGGTAAAAACGGGAAATCATTATGAGTCTTATGTAAATGTTTTGGGTAGTCGATATCGACTTCTAATATATACCCAACTTCAGAATCATCAGCAATTTTAGTTACGTCTATGTTTAAGTCATCAACCCATTCAAAATCTTTAAAAGGTAATTCTGTCAACATAGACTTTCCATATAAATTTACACAATCAAGATATGTTATCCATTTAATCGGTTCGATAGAATTATAATTCAATCCTTTGATATTTGGTATGTTTGCTTTAGCAAACCTTTTAGTCGATTGAGTTATCCCACCACGAATTGAATTCTCTATAAACAAAAGCATATTAGGGCATTTTAACCTTTCTAATTCGATCTTTGTATATTTAAGCATACAATCATACGCAAATCCTGGAGCAGTCATATAATGAGCAGGATCTAACTCAAGACTAGATAAACATAAGTCTCTGAAATTTTCAAACACGTCAGCTAGTATAGCAACATCAGTTTTTAAATAATGATCGCTATATTCACCTAATGTCTTTATATTAAAAATGTTCCATACATTTTTCGCATGAACATAATCATCATCAGTAATATTTTCATCGGATAAAGAGCTATAAAAATCAAGCTTTGAAGGTAAAAAAGGTTCATCTAGTTTACTCCAACTATCAACATATTCATACGGGAAGACTCCTTTTCGAGTAACTAGATCTAATACTTTAATAGAAAATACTTTAATAGTTTCTCTAAACTTCAATTTATCTTCAGATAAATTTTTTGCTAGTTTACTTAATTTTTCAGCCATAAAACGGTATGTATCAACAAACTTAATGTTAAATTTTGGTGCGATTTCTTTACTGAATGATATATATTTTTCAGATGAATTAGGTATAACATGAATATCTTTATCGTTACACCCAAGTTCTCGAATTATAAAGTGACTGTCATATGTCAGATTATGAAAGAAGATTGGTACAAATGATGGACTAGTTAGCTGAAAATTACATTTAACACAAATACATCGTCTGTAATTTCCAGTTATATGACAGTGATCTCGAACTTTTAACAGATTATTATCTTTAAAAGGTATTAAACATTTTTCACAAACCTTAGCCTTCAGAAAATGTTTTTCTTCTTTTAAAGTTAATTTGTTAATTGGTAAATTAGTTTTATAAATATCATTAATTTTATTTCCTATACTAATCATACTATTCATAAATTTTTTTGCTGCATTTTTACCTCTATATATTACTACTTTTCTAGGAATTTCAAACTTTTTTATTAATTTTTTTGGTATAATATTATAGTCGACTTTTACATAAAACCCGTAACTCATAAGTTTATGTAAATGTGTAATACAAGTTTTTGGTTTTTTACTACTTTGAATGAATTTATCAGGTTGTTTAGGGTTTAAAATACATTCAAAGTCAGCGTATATAACAATCGGGATTCGTTGAGTATTTTTATAGTTTTTGAAATATATGAAATCGTCATCTCCTTCTTCGAACATAATAGGTCTTCCTAATTTATTTTTAATACACATTTCTTTATGTCTAATTAATCCTGTTTCACCCCAAAGTTTGCTTTTACACGGTTTATTTCCAAAACTTGTAAAACATCGCTTACATATAATCAACTTTGAACAATTTTTAGTCCTTTGACTTCTAATAAATCTTGAGAAGTTGTTAATATAACAATAATGAGATGTATTATTATTATCAAATAGAAATAGGTCGAAATGATTTTTTTTTTCAATATTGGTTATATGTAATGGGAAAATTAAATTTTTATTATCTAAGCTGTAAATATTAATTGATACATTGTTTATTTTTTCAAATTTTTTTATCTGAGTTATAGGTGTTGGAAAATCAATACATTTAAAATTAAGCCCACTTTTTGTTTCTAACATATCAAAATATTTTTTGTTAAACTTAGATTTATTCAATCGATTATTGTACTTAGTTAGTATTGAATACTTGAAACATTCGTTATCGTTATTTTTTATGTTTATAACTGCTTTTTTTTTTTTTATATGGTTTGGTAAATCTAAATATGTACTTCCTCCTTTAAGAGGATTAACTTTATTAATTCGTAATTGTAAACAATCTATAGATTTTAGTGACCAACCTGATTTTTTTGATATAAACTGTGCTTCCTCAGATAATAATTTGTTAAACATTTTGTTTAATAAACTATTAAAATCGGATGATTTATATGCTAATACGTTTGAAGTTTTAAACGACATATCTTGTACTTCACCCGTTAACAGTTGTTCATACGTGCTATCAACATGTAAATTAAATTTAATTGTTGACTGCTGGCTTGATTGTGTTAACCTAGAAATTAACATTTCAGAAACATAACTAAAAAATACATTGTAGTCTATTATTTCTTCCTTATTCTTAACAATATACGTTCTCGAACAGCTTTTAAATCGTTCAATTTCAACAATTCCGCCCTCAGCTGATTCCATCCGTCTACGTTTAGTGATTGTATTTCTTTTCATTATGTAACTGTAAATAAATTTTAAAAAAATAATAATAATAATAATAATATTATTTATTAATACATATTAGTCTTAAATCTTAATCTATATTCAAACATTCTAATTTGGTATGTAGAGAATGTATAGAATTTCTTATTCTTTGTCTACATTTATAATATACATATTGCGAATCTTTGTATTCTAGTTTGAGTTGTTTTTTTTCATATTTTAGTTTTTTAATTTTTTGGTTAATTGTTTTGATTTTGTTTTTATACAAATTTTCATCTTCATCTTCTTCGTCAAACGTCGTTTCCAATTGCTCATAACTTTCTTCTATTTTTCGTTTGAGGTACTTTTCCTTTGCAACAGATTCCATTTTTATTAATTTTATTTTGTAACTGTAAATGTTAATATTTATTTATTAATCAATATATTTAATAAAATAAAATAAAACATTGGAATATCTCTTATTTTATTTTACTACTGTTTATTCACAATTTTGGTATAGGTATATATTCTTAAGTGATTCAGATATTATTATTCTGTTAGATATTTAAAGGTATAGTAGTATATGTTTTACTTATTATTTCATCAGAACATAACAAAAAATATAATTTAAGTATGTAATTCAACGACGTCACAGCCACCGAGCATGATCGGATTCGGATCATAGGAACGTGTTGTCAGATCATGATAGTGGTAAGCGAGACGGGCAGCAACGAAGGTGCGATACACCCGTAACGCTGGACCCTCCGGTTAGGAAGATCTCTGGAACCTTGCCATCTACACACATAGATCTGACGTACGAACCTACAATCGCTTCTGTGGAACATAACTTATACCCTACATGTTGTGTATATACATGTTGAGCTTAAGCTTTTACGAATATACTAGTTTGTATTTACATATTATAATTGTTTGTATAGATAAAGTTTTTTACGAATATACTAGTTTTTATTTACATACTCTAATTGTTTGTAAAGGTAATCTAAATTACTGCGTATATTTAAATCATTTAATAAGGATTGATATTCAAAATCATTATATTCATCTATTAATTTTTGTTTTTTTAAACTTAATTCTGTTTTTACTGATTTTGACTTAGTTTTTTTAATTTGTTTATTAAATTGTTTAATTTTTTGTTTATGTTTAATTTCTTCTTCATATTCAAATTTTTGATTTTCTTCTCGCTTTAATACATCGGCTTCTATTTTACTATAAATAGTGCTAGCTGATTCCATTTTTTTTTTTAAAAACTGTAAATAATAAATATTTATTAAAATTAAACAAAATTATTACAGTAATATTACTGTGTAAGCTTTTATTTTATTTTTTAATGTTAACATATATTGTTAAACTACATATTAAAATAAAATAATATAGTTATAAAAATATAATAATTTTACATAAGTTTACATTTCTAAAAAATAGGATAAATAATTTAGTTTATTAAAAAAGTAATTGTAAAATATTATTAAATTAGATTTATAACTATTTTATTTTATTTGAATATTGTACACGTATACAATAATAATGTGCACGTATTCGTTTGAATCATTCCATATGTAACGTACACCTACCTACCTATATTAATATTTTTTTGTAAAAATAATATCTATACTAATGATATGTACTTACATTGGTTTTTTTTGTGAAATTGAATTTTTGGGAAAATAGCACTTGAACTATGTCGACTGTGTTGATATGTAGGTTCTTTGAAACTGTAAATAGTAAATATTTTATTCAAATTATTCAAGTGTTTAACATCTAAATATTTTACATTATAAATACAGGTAATAATTATTTAGTGAATAGTTGATCAACTTAATTTAGTTATTCATATATTATGTATATTATTTATTACTTAAAATTATTCTATAAAAGTTTTATTTATAATGTAATTTTACCCTATTAATAATGAAATAATCAATAGTTAAATATAGCAGTAATATTACTGTGTAAGCTTTTATTTTATTTTTTAATGTTAACATATATTGTTAAACTATATATTAAAATAAAATAATATATTATTATTAATTAGCTGGTTACACTATTAGAAAGATTCGAATATAAAAATATAATAATTTTACATAAGTTTACATTTCTAAAAAATAGGATAAATAATTTAGTTTATTAAAAAAGTAATTGTAAAAATTATTAAGTTAGATTTATAACTATTTTATTTTATTTGAATATTGTACACGTATACAATAATAATGTGCACGTATTCGTTTGAATCATTCCATATGTAACGTACACCTACCTACCTATATTAATATTTTTTTGTAAAAATAATATCTATACTAATGATATGTACTTACATTGTTATTTTGAGAAGTTGAAATATAATATTTTGTGAGACTGTTGTTCGATATAATGTGTTACAGAAGGATGTTATTTAATACACACTTCAAAAAACTGTTAAGCCTAAATGACTATTTTAAAATAGAATGTAAAGTGTTCTAGCGAGATGTGACTTCTAGCTATCTGGTGGTGGCTGTTCGTCTGTCTAGGGATACTCTCTTTAGGTATCTCATCGACTCGATCGATGGCCATTGTTCCCACTCAATATTCTCACATATACAGCGGAAGGTCACTACAATATTTAATTACAATATTCTTAATTGGTGTATTCTAATAAATATTCATATGAGTAGTGATATATATTATATATTAACGGACGACTATCGGTCGCGCGCTACTGTAATTCCTATTATCATAGGCGCCAGGCGGTGTAGCGATTATTTGAATTGAACATGATTGATGTCGATCAGCATCAATTTCTGTGAATCGTAACGATAAGTTGAATCGTTACAATTTATTGTTGTGTGTAAACCCGGCTTTATACCAATTCTCGTTTATCTGAAACTATTACTCGATAATGTATTTATTAGAATCATATTATACCAATATTGTCGTTAATCTGAAACTATTATTCGATAATGTATTTATTAGAATCATATTATCTACATAGCACATCAATGTGATAAATATAACAATAAAAAACAACAGCAGAACAAAATATTCTGCTAATACAAATTATAGTCACGTAATTAACTGAATTAATTATTCATATGATTAATATCATATTAATCATTCAGTATGCATCAGCTAAATTATAAATTGATCAGTCAATAGCAAAACACTTAAGAAGCAAGAGTAAATTCACTCAATATATTTTAGCTACATATCTACTGTTTAAAGCTATATTTAATTTTGTTTTAAAAATGCCATTTGTTAGCTCATTAAATAGCACTGACGAAGAGACAATGATCCTAAGCGATGTAAGTACAAAATAATATGTTTTTATATAATTTATATTTATTAGTTATATTTTGAAGATTATTAAATACAATATTTTATTTTTTTGTATAATACTGAATTATGCTAGTTTGATATTATATCTACAAATTAAAATAAATAGGTACAGTGTATATATTTTTACTAGATTTTCAGTTACCAAATTTTATTTAATTTCAGAACGATTCTAATAATGAGAGTATGGATAATGAGGTTAAACCAGTCAAAAAACCGAGCAAACAGAGTAAAAACAAAAAAGAAGTAAAATCGAATAAGAAAAAAACAACGATTAGAAAAGTAAATAAAATATCTATAGTATAGTAAAAATAAATTACAATTTTTTTTTGTTCTAGAATATTTCATATTTGGATAATATTGAAAGTTTGCTAAAAAATGAAAAAATTGAAACTGATATCATAAATACTATTACGGTAAAACAAGGTGATAATTTGATAAATGTTAAATCTCCAACTAACGATAAAATTTCTGAGTACTGGACCATCAGCCACTATAAAGTGAAAAATATTAAGAATGTTGATAGCAAGAACAGGTAATATATTATAATTTATTATTTTTTTTCTTGGTCAGTGTAGGAAATAATTAAAAGCTCTTGTAATATATAAATATTTTGTAGATGAGACCAAATACATAAAATATAAAATAAAAAATTATCTTTTCATATTATATTCCGTTTATATTAATATATTTTATTATTTTCAAATTTTCTTCATCAAATAAAAATAAAATATTTCCACTTTTTCCAGATTGATTTTTTCTTAAATAAACATGATTTTTTTTTATTAAATATATGTGATTTAAGAACTTGGGTTTAGTGCTATATGAAACTTAACTATTTTCGGATAAACGATTTTATGGCAAATGTAAACTAGTGAATGATATAAATCATTATCCCTCCAAAGATGATACACATTGCTGACAACTTATATGTACATTATTATTATTATTATTTAATCATCAATATTCAAAAAGTTATTAACATTATTCACTTTGTCCACCTATCCGCTTTACCCTGATCTCCCTAATATAAAATAATTGTAATACATTTATTTATTTTTTTTATAATATTAAAATTTTTTATGTAATTTTTTATAGATGGAAAGAAGCTGAATGTAGTCTTAAAGTAACGATAACCGATGAAGAAAAAGATCAAGAGCTTAAGAATAATTTATCAGAGGTCGTACAAACAATATTTACACGCTTTATGTCTGATCCTAAGAGGAAGATAATAAGATCTAAATTATCAAAGAATTAATTAATATATTTATTAATGACTGTAGAAAAAATATGAATATATAATAGGTACTATGCAAAATAAAAAATGTTTAGTTTTAATATACTTGTGTTATGAAACATATGTATACATCACTCACATTATATATGAATTAATTATCTGTTATTATTATATTGTAAATCAATTATATACTTATACATGGCATTTTATTTATTTATGTGAAAAAAAAAATTAATCATACATTTATTTTAAAAAGTTGTGTACATGCATTATTTAGTATCATGAAACGTAAAAAATAATATAAATTATGGGTTAACAAATAATTAAAAAAAATTAGACTGCTAAGTCTTGTAATATCATGTCTGATAGTGAGTTATAATGAAACTGTAATAATTCATGCATAAAAGAAATATCGTTAGACTCCATATTACTATAACTTAAGTCATAATTCTGAATATATTGATTTGTAAATTCATTCCGTCGACAAGAAGAGGGTAACCCGTTAACATCTGCTGAAATTAATGAATATGCTGTGTCATAGGTCTTCTGATAAGATTGCAATTTTTTCTGTTTTTCAATAATATATAATTCAATACACTGTTGAATTTGTTTCAACCTTTGCAGGTCTACAAGGGCGAATGTTATATCATTTTGATTAGAATGCAATATAATTGAAGACTGTTTCACATTAACAGAATAACTTAAGTTATCAGTTATTCTTACTCGTTTACATCGTTTTTGTAGATTATTAATAATTGATGTATAATTATTTTCACACATTAATGAAAGCCATTGGTCTAGATCAAGGTTTAAACTCTTTTTAGTTATTTTACATTCTAGAATTATAATAATTGAAATCTGCTTATTAATTAATAATCCAACTGTAATACTTTTCTTGTTGTAAGCACGGATGTCAAAAGTAGACTTGCAGACAATTATCGGTGAACTCATAGTGGAATTATTTTGATAACTTTATTTTAATAGTTAAAATATTTATTTTGATTTTTTCACGTCTAACACAAATATAAAGTTAGATATAACTGATGGAGTCATACATTGAACTGAGAGTTTTTCCTTTGTAAACATATTATATACTACACTCTTAGATAAAAAAAAAATGCAAAAAAATGTGAACGTACAGCTTAGTGGATTAGTGCATACTAGGAGGGGAGAATTACACATTATACTTACTAACCTGAAAAACATTTAAATTATACGCACTAAACCACTAAACCATACGTCCACGAGATATTAAATTCAAAACTAGCATATATAAGTTGATTTTTTAAAATTCAATATTTATTATTATTTATTACATCATATATTATAAAACAGTACATAAAAACATGATTTAACAAATGGTATCGTATGAATCGGTTACACAATTACAAATAACTTCGATTTTACAATATTTACTTAACACTTTTTGCACATACTGATTTCCCTTCGTTAATAATACAAATATACATTTTGGTGAGAACCGTGTATGTTCAAGAAATATGTCGTCTCCGAATTCAAAGGCATGCAAAATTATTGAACACCAATGACATTCAACTGCGTCATCGACATTTATATACTTAAACCCAGACTCGGCCAATTTATATTTGTTCTGTGTACTATTTAATGGAAATGTTTTGAACGTTTTTAATCTCGAGGAAAACGTGGAGAATTCTGGGTATGCTGGTGTTGAATTGAATCGTATTTGGTTGACCAATGACTGGACATCGTTTGTACATTTTTGTAAATTCATTTTTGAAAAAATTTATAATAACTTGAAAACAATTTAATGAAATTATGAGAAAATTGAAGAGAATGAAATACAACTTCGTCAAACAGCTAATCACTAGTAACTGAACATAATAATAAAAAAAATAATCGACTATTAAAATGAAAACATTTTATAAAATATAGTGTAACCAACTTTGTGTTATTTTTTTTAAATAATTAATTTTAGTAGAACTGAATAAAAAAGTTCAGTGTAACCACTAGTATATTTTTTTTTTCCCCTGTAAAAATGGACGCAGAACATACATTAGGGTTTTTGAGATTTTGGCTACGCGGTGATCAAAAGTACTGTAAGGGAGACTTTCCCCCTTGAACTTTTTTTTTTCCCCTGTAAAAATGGACGCAGAACATACATTAGGGTTTTTGAGATTTTGGCTACGCGGTGGTCAAAAGTACTGTAAGGGAGACTTTCCCCCTTGAACTTTTTTTTTTCCCTGTAAAAATGGACGCAGAACATACAAATATATACTACTTATATATATAATATATATTATATAATATAAAATATCTACACTGACACACCGTCTTCGCTCAGAATCGTTTTTCTTAAACAATGATATTATATCATTTAATTTGAATTTAACACCATCCATTGCATAGCCTCACTTGTAACTTACTGTACAGCAGAGCGACACCCACTTGTCAACCTTATTTATATTGTGATTTGAGAAATATTAATGATACAGAGCTGGAAACGTTTTGCGATCACGAGTATTATTTTTTTTTCATAAGTATACCTATCTAGCAGACTTTTTGACTATTGTCAGACTTTAGAAGACTTTAATTTTGAATAGTTTCACTTAGAAGAGTTTCACCCACTTTCCCACCATTTTTTATGATTTACTTTGGTACAGTAAACGTTTTTTAAATGAATGTTGCATAGGTAAAGTTTAAATAAACCGTCCATAAATAATTCATAATACAATTCTTCATTTACACCTTTTTGACACTATTAAAAATGAACATAATTGCTACCTACTTATTTATAGAAAGACTTAAGACACCCATAACCCAATAGTTTTCCTTCGTGGGTCCTTCGAAAGAAGACCTATTTAAACAAATTCTTATAATGATATTCTGATTTTCCTGCAATTTATTTAAAGTACAGTCGCTTATTCCACCCTTGCAAACTAACAATCCATATTGCAGGGTTAACTGGTATAACGTAACATAAATGATACGAATTGTTGGTATAGGTACTAAGCAACTGAATTTATAAAATGTATACTCGTGGAGCTTTCCACCTAGATTTTGTGAATGCAGATTCTACGAATATGAATAATATATTATCGAATATGATACCTATAGATATCACGGGTTCTTGTTGCTACTTTTATAATAAAACATTAATAAATTATGTAATTATGTCTTCTATATAATATATGTATAGTAAATAGTATACAAAAATATTTATATTACATTATTACCAAGGCTGGGCAAGTTAATGATTATTTTTTACTCAGTTAACTAAAGTTAATATTTACCAATAACAAACAGTTCAAATTTAAAAGTTAGTTTAACAAAAGTTATTTTAGTTAAGTATAAAGGTAATTCACTCTTTTTATTAAGTTGAAAAAAAAGTTAATTTGTTTATACAATGCTAGCGTACTTATTTTTTGTAAAACTTAATTAGGTTGTACTGTATACTTTATACAGTATTTCCATATAAGTTACATTCGAACGATTTGAATTTTTTACTTTGAACAATTTACAGTACATATTTTTTAAAATTAAAACGAAATTGACTGAAATAGTGAAATATTATAATAAAATCAAAAACAAAGTAAATTAACATAACTTGTTTCTTAAAATGAAAAATTTAACTCTTTAATGCCCAGCCTTGCATATTACTGTCAACGTTTGAAATTCAAGTGGCAGTGCTGGCGAAACAAAGCTCTTTAACATAATGTACACTCAAATTAATTATGCTAACATAATGGGTAATATATCTAAATGGTATCTACAGCAAAAATACTAAAAACAAGGTCAATATATAATAATAATTTACATGCGATGATTAAAATTAAAATCATCGAACCATCGAACCTTTAATAATTTGACACTGAATAACAATAGAGAAACAAACTGCATTGATGCGTACATGGGTGCATGTAATATTTTAGACCAAAAATGAAGTTGTAATATATAATATTTAGACTTAGAATAAAACACGAGACAAATAATAACAACGGACCATGTTATTGTGGAATGTGGGTGATCCAATATATATATACATACATACGCATTAGGTACATATTATACGCATTCCTCTTACATGCACGTGGCATACGAAACACATAAATAATATTCAATACCTCTCCGATCAGACGTGTAGTGGAGAAAACACAATCAAATATCAGCGGCGCCAGTAAACACCGTACATTGTAAAATCATCAACGCATTCTTTCGTATACATATAAGTACACACATACGTGTATAAAGACGTATACATATATATATATATATATTAATATTATATACTTCGAGACCACTTCAATAATTTTCCGATCAAGACGTTTGGTCAAAACAAAACCATAAATTACCAGAGGTACCTTTGTCACACCGCACAAAATAATAAAATATTCCAATACTTTAATATCACGTATTAATCGATCGATGCACAAGAAGAAGGGATCAACCAAAATCATATTATATAAGGACAACAGAGTCTCCAGTGTCGTTCCAGAGATACACATGGTCCACGCCAGTCAACATCACTACACAGTGTGTAGTACACACACATACACATCATTCGTATATGCTCATATATTACCTTTTTGCGTTATGAACTTGTATATATGCTGTATCATTCGAATATTCAGGTATGGACAATAAGTTAGTTGTCTCATATTTCTAAATTAAATATCTTGTTAGCTGTTATCCTCCATCAATTTAAATAGGTAATCAATTTGTAGTGTAGTGTGATTAGGACATTATAATTATATTATATCCCATTGCAAATAAACCGTTCATAGGTTAGGTTATATTCGGTTCGTTATCAATGTCCGTAAGAATTCCTATATGGTGACGGTGAATATAAAAAATCTCTCAAGTGTAAATACACTTTCCTCCAGTAATTAACAATCAAATTACACTACAATTTGCAAGTAAAGTAGAACATTTATCTTAGAATCGATACGACTTTATGAGTAATATTCAAATCGTATAAACATCTCCAAAAGATACATAAGGTAGAACAAAATCATCTTAGTTCATTAGTATAAATTAGAGTCACACGGTACATACTTAGAATATATAAGTCAATGTTTGTACGTGTTAAATTTTTACCAGCATGTACAACCGTGAAAAATAACTTCTACACGTTTCAATGGTACTTGACGTCATTCTCTTATCAATTCATTTTTCCATCCGCACTTCTGCAATATTTACTTTCATATTACACTCCAAGCAGTTCTTTTTGCCGCACCGCACTTTGTCAAAATGTGCATGTTTGATGTTTGCATGCTTTGGGAAAGTATAGTTGACTCTGCAGCAAAAATTAAATAGTTGGTAGTTTTTAAGAATGATTTTTGGGTCGCAGTGCTTTCAGACTTCACATGGAAAGAAAAATATTGTAATTTTTTGGAACATGAGATTATTGTGTTCTTCGATAGTTTCGATGACTAGATCGTCAACCCAAGTTATTATTAACTCATTCAGTTCTATCTCTGAACATTGATAGATAGCTCTACTATAAAATTGTGGGTTGGTTGCATTTAGTAAAATGAGTAGAATAAAATGTCCAATCTAGTAGTATACACAGCTCAATATTGATGTTTTTGAGGGTTGGTTGCTTTCTGCATAACGCCGTTCATTATTATCCGACAACGCGAGGTGCAAGTAGTCTCGAGCATATTATAATTATTATTTATAACGTACAATAATAACATTTTGATTATGATTATGTTGATTATAACATGTACGGTAAAGGCGGATAGGGTCTTGTCTCCCGGCGATTGACGAACGGACATAATATATTTTACTATCAGCCACCAACCATATTGGAATAATAACATATATTTTGACGGTCGTCAAGTCTGCGTAAGAGATAAAGACATAATAGGTTTACGTACACTTCAGCCCCTATTTTTCCAAAAAAATTGGTACTACACATTTTATTTATAATGATATTATGACACAGTGACAAAGAGGACCAAGAATTTAAATTTAAATTGATATATTATTCAGTAAAATATGGGGCATAACTTTTTATAAATTTAAGAGAGTCAAAATCATAACACAGAAATAACTAAAGGTATCTAAACCTTCATAATAGTTCATTAGCGATTCAATGTAGAGAAGTAAATATCAATTTGTTAAAATGTAACTGAAAACAATTTATTTTTGGTAGGTAACTATCATAAAAGATTTTCATTTTTAAAAATTATTTTTTAATTTTATGTATACTTAGTGTAATATTAGTATACTAGATAATATGTAATATGTAGATATCTATATTGTACATTATTACCTACCAATTATAATCTATTTATTTTTATAGTCTTATTCATTAGTACACACTTATCAAATCCGTAGTGCACACTTCTAATTTCGGACTACACACTTCGTGTAGGGGTTCACTAAAAAATAGGGCCTGGTACACTTATAGCTCACATGTATGTTGGTTTTTTTTTAGGTACCTAAAGAAGTATAAAAATGAATAGTGATTATTACAGTTTGCGCTTTAATCGTTTTTTTTTTTTTTTTTATCCTTGCTGCGTGTTAACGATTAATCTGATTATATATATTTTAACAAACTTTATACTTGGGGTAGGTTAGCTGACAATATAATATACTATATTATAATCAACCCAAATCGTATTCGTAGACGGTATACAAATATATAAATATAATATATATATCAGAGTTATTCAAACTCTATCATCCAGCGCCTCCTTATATTATATTATAGTATATCTATAATATAATATATATTATAGAATATAATGCCAAATATAATAACAACAGTGATCGGAACCGCGAAGCTAAATTTCAAAATAGGTAACGGATAAATGTATTAGAAAAACGAATTCAAAAACATTTTTACATACCTGTCGTATACCTTTTATAATATTACATATCTAAGAATTACTACATAGCCACCGTCGTGTATTATTAGTTGATATTAACTTGATTTTTCTTTCACTTACTATTATTAAACCATTAAAATAAATTAGTTAATAATGTAAATCGAATTCCTGATATTGAGCTTAATAGGTTACATGTATTATCATTTTTTTTTTGCTCATGCAGTTGTTGGCTTTAATCATTTTCCTGACAAATTTGTCACCAGAAAATCATAATACCACAGCAGTTCCATAATATACAAAATAATTATTTATTAATTATAAAATAAATGTATAACTACCAATCAATGTTTATTACATTTTTTTTTATTATTTACAATACACAGTTCATAACGTAATATTACATGTTTTGTTTTTTTACAATGGTTAAAATACGGGTTTAGCTTGCACAGTGCACACTGAATTTAATAATATGGTTAGTATATGGTCATAAATGACGCAAATAACAAGCCACTTCATAAAAGCATTAACATGGATATAAAATAGTTGTAAAATAATGTAAACTTTTGCTAAAGGCAGTCGTGGTAAAATGACCACGGTACATCGTCGGACGATGCTGTCGACAAATTCGAAATATTCAACAGAGCTTTTACAAAAATCGAAAACGATGCGAATAGCAAGCCACTGTATAAGAGCATTAGGGTGGATATAAAGGAATTGTAGCTGATAAAATGTCAACTGTTGGCTAAAGGCAGACAGAGGGCTCACGACAAAAATCTAAAACAGGAAATCTACTGGGCCACAGCGGAGAAACGCGTCGACGACGTAATATCTGCAGACACCAAAGTAGGAAAGTTATCGTTTAAGGTCGTACGATGGGAAGATCTGCTATAACCTGCTGGTAAAAGTACCAAAGAATCTTCTTGTTAGTATTTGAAGGATATCCTGGATTTAGAAAATACAAACAAATGTCATAGACGCCGGTTTTTCAACAGCAAATAAAATACTAGAAACGAGGGATATACGACTTTTTTATATTTTCATGTGAAGATTTTCGATCCCAATTTTTTTTCCTAGTATTCGGATTGTTGTTAAAATACCCGACATCGGCGAGATATTTTGGCTTTTCCAAATCTGGGTTTTCCATCAAATACTTACAAAACTGTTTAGTAGATTTCATGTGCACCACGTCCTCCCACACGTCCTTAAACGATAACTTTTCTACTTTGGTGTCTGTAGACATTTCGTCGTCGACGCGTTTCTCCACTGTGGCCCAGTAGATTTCCTGTTTTAGATTTTTTTCGTGAGCCCTCTGTCTGCATTTAGCCAACAGTTGACATTTTATCGGCGACAATTCCTTTATATCCGCCCTAATGCTCTTATAGAGTGGCTTGCTATTCGCATCGTTTTCGATTTTGGTAAAAGCTCTGTTGAATATTTCGAATTCGTCGATAGCATCGTCTGACGATGTACCGTGGCCATTTATATAACTACATTTTTCGATACTGTTTAACTCGGTCTTGGTGTTCATAAAGTCTAAATACGCACTAAGAAGCGTCTCGTCTTCTGCAGACTGACCGTCGTCGCTCATCTATTATAATATTTATTAAAAACAAGATATTAATATCGGTTTGCTCACTTTTAAGTGAAACACCTATCGTTAAACTAAAAAGTAATAATATATAACTCACAAGCTTTTTTTCGTCTGCCATAATGTGCGTCTATTACGTGTGGAAGAAAATAAAATATTGTTCACCTTATTAAAAATATTAAAATAACTAAATACATTTTATTACATATCTCTAGGTAATAACTTATCTAAACAAACTCAATACCGAATAATTTCAGCCAACATCCAGAGTTGTCCAAAAAAACAAAATCGATTCTGTAAAAATAAATATGATCATTTTTAGGGGCGTAATAAATTTCAAAAAATGAAAAATGTTTATTTAAAGAACAAAATTCCGATTCCGATTGTTTAACGTATTCATGTTTTCTTTTAAGATTATTATAGGGTTCAATGTACTTAGAACTTCCAGGCACACTAGTAAAAAATGTTGTTATTTTATTTTTATTTTTATTTTTTGACTTTAAGCGTTTATGGAAAAAGAATAAATACTTAAATTTTAATACTATCATTAATATTTTTCAAAAGTATATTAAATTACTATACATTTTAATAATTTATCTGTGTGAAATAGTACATGTTATTTTAGTATATACCTAATTTATAAAAAACAATTAATAATTTTGATTAAGGGGGCCTTGACAGCTTTACATTAAATTTAGGGAACCTCATGACAAAAAAAATTGAGAAGTACTGTACTAGATTATAGTGTAAAATATCTAAATATAACTAGCTCTCCCGGTAAAAGATCATGTTTTTAATGTTGCATTTCAATTTGAAAACTACATATACATTTTTCACTGTTTATTTTTCTAACATAATTTATATTTATTGAAGAAATATATAAACAAATTTTTTGACAAAGGTTGGTTGCTCAATACACAGTCAAATATTAACCAAATATATCATAACGCATTATGTCAAAGAAAATTGATATTCACTTACAAAAGAAAAAAATGAGCAAGGTGCTAAAAACAAGAAAACACCAAAAAAACTAAACAATTTTTCAAAATTAGTTTGAAGTTTATAAGATAACTATTATTGAATAATATTATAATATAAATAATATACCTAATCATAAAATAAAACATGCAAAATATTTTAAACATGTTTTTAGAGTTTTTTATGAGCACTAGAAAATACTACTCAACTTTACCAGACTACTATTAGAATTAGGAGTAGAATCATAATAGTTTTAATTTAATTTAAAGATTTTAATAAGGATGCAAATATTCAAAGAAGTGACTAAATTATACATCATATTTATTCTAATTTATGTCTACTCGATAAAAATATTGCCAATGAATAAAATGCAAATGTAATGTATAATTACAGGCTCCAAATTTATTATGCCAACTCAATTAAAAAAAAAACTTTTTATGATTCAATGTTTTTGTAAATACTGACTTCAATTTTAAAAAATATTAATAACGGTATAATTCTGAAGTTTTAAGACATTTTGCATTTAACAGAATGAATATACAGTCCTTCGTAGGACAGGAAGCGCTCTCTGGTGACTATAGAACTGTATTAATATTTTCAATTAAGAGTATACACTGTATACGTATAGGGGTCCAGAGTGAAGACACCTTATCAATACACCTTGTATGTTTGATTTAAATGTTACCTGGTTATCATAATACAGTTCTTAACAGATAATGCTTGTAATCGTTGTATAATGCATGTTGATATAAAATTGAAAATAATAAATTTGTTTATTTTTTCCTTTCTTAAAAATTTTTTTTTAGAAAATTGCTCCTGTGAATTATATTATGTATAAACAAGAACGCACAAAAGTGCATCGGTTAGTAAGGTCATGGGGGGGGGTCAACCTCCCCTCCCTTGAATACGCCCCTGTAAAGTCAAAGTGATATCGATCATCACCACACCGCATAAATACAATTCAATCACAGAAGGCAATCGTCACAACCCACACACAAGGTAAGTGATTTGACATATATTATAATAAAGCTGATAATATAAATAATATTAGGTAGGTATAACACAGTGGTAGGGCGACCCAACAAATTTCCAATATGTATTATAATACACACATTTCTCACCAAAAACCATTACCTTCCCCTACCGCGTATTTTCCCCTTCTTCAAAGTGTTTATTTTATCTTCTGGTTTTTGTAGTTGCTGTTAATTGGGATGAAAAAAATAACCCTTTGTTTTTACCACAATTACCGGTTGTAAGTTCTTAATTTGGTCTATCTGTCTATGAAGCAACCACCACATTGTACTAAAAGAATGTCCTCTAATTCTACATACGTAACATGATACTGCTTAAAACGATTTTATAATTTTCTTCAGGTTGAATACAAAATGAATATCTTAGCGTTGTTACGTTGTGAATTATCGAATGACCTAATTAAATTAAATTTGTACCTAAGCAAAACGTCTGTCAACACCACAGAAATTAAAGGAAAAATAACCTATTTTGAACCACTTGATGATTCTTTTAATGTAAGTATATAGTTATTATTATTATTAAATTGTATATATCCTCTTGATGTAAGTTTAGTTGTTATAATATTATTAAATCAACTAAAATAATAATAAAAAAAAAAAAAATAATAATAATTATAATATAAGAATTGATTTATTGTTGAACCAATTATTTTGACATTTTATTTGCCTATTTCCTAAAAATAAGTACTTATCAAAAACATTGACTTCTTAAATAATTGTTGAATTTTATTATATTTTGTCGGTCTGAAATCTAGGTCGATCTGATTTTGGCAAATATATTAAAATTGATGTCTATATACATTGAGTTCAATTTGGCAGTAAAAGATTCTGTTGGTGGTTGGAAGGATAATACTCATATTTTTAAGACATATAAAGCTTGCTCGTCACTGAAAATGTTTGTGGGAAAATTATGGAAAACATTGACGGAAACCTGGGAATGCACAATATTAATTGTCCTATACCCGAGGTATGGAAGTATTATATATAAATAAAAACAATATCTATAAAAATGTAATATATTGTGAATTTTTATTTTAGAACATACATATACATAACACTATCGTAGTGATGTCGACTTTCATGAAAATATTTTGTTATGAAAAATGTCGTGAACACATTGTAGTTTCTCATATAAATGTATTATCAAACAAATCCCTTGATTTTAAATTGCTATATAATATGTATAATATTTTTAACCTACAAAATTATATTTAAAAAAGGTGGGCCAGTGGGTGTCACTCGGCTGTACAGAAGGTTACAAGTGGGTCACTGTAATGGATGGTGTTAAATTAGAATTCAATGATATAATATCATTGTATAAGAAAAACGATTCCGAGCTATAACGGTCAGTCAGCATAATATGATATTACTAAGTATATTTGATGATATAATTGTGAATAAAGTAATTTATATACAACTAATTTACGTGGAACCTTGTTTTAAATTTTCAATCCTTAGATATAAATGTTGAAAATTTTATAAATTTTTAACTACAAAATAATTGATAATGTCGTAGTTTTCCTCAGTGAGGCCCATTAATCTTTCGATATTAATTTAAATAAATAATTTAAAAATAAAATAAAATTATAGACAGTGGTCAAAATATTATTATTTAATACATATAATGTAATATAGGTGGGAATATTTTAAATTGTAAACTATTGACATAGGTCAATCCAGTGAAGCAATAATATTTTACTATATGACACCGCCGTACGCGCTGGCAGGGGGAGTCCCGTTGTACTAACGTAGGTACGACGGTTGTACGTGTGAAACGTCGAACATAGTAGGCAATCTCAATTCGCTTAGTGATTTATTTATGTTTGTTTGAATATGATAAAAGTGTTTCCTACCCTTAAAACCCGAGTTTATAATAATTTCAGTCATTCTTAAGTTCTTACCTTTTATAGGAGCAGCGCCGGGATATACGTACTATGTATCAATGAAGTTTTATTAAACAGAATAGTGCCAAGGTACATGTAATCTTTGAGTCATTTCAACTAGATAGGAACGAACTAAGAATTTACAAGCGCATATCATCGTACCTCAAAATTAACAGTGCCATTCTAATTAATTTTAAAGAGTGTCATTAACTAGAGAATACGAGGATAAGGCGTATACCTAGTTCATAGTTGGTTTACCGAGTATTGTCCAATACGGGTGGTATCCACAATAATTTTTAAATTTGATAAATTTTTTCAAAATTCGAACTTTAAATGCTAATAAAAAAAAATGTTGGCTATAAATTTTTATATTTTTAAACTAATATTGTGACAATATACCAGGAGTCTTGCATAAAATGTTCACCCTTTTTTACCCAACAAATGACATTTTAGTGACAATAAAAGAAAAAAACCAAACAAACTTAAAAACTGACAATGCCCATAAACAGCTCAAAAAGCATCAATATAATTTGCTAATTTTCTTGATTTTTCTGTATTGTGTCAAGATTTGAACTTAAATGCTTATAAACAAAAACTGTGACTAAGGATTTATAATATATTTCAAATGTTATTGTAACAATAAAGTAGTTATATTCAATTTTTTTACACAACAAATACATTTTTATTGACATTCGTTGAAAAATGATTAATAAAATTGGAAACTGAAAAACAAATAACATTTTTTGAAATTTTTATCGTGTATAGAAATGGCAAATATAAACCACCAGTGAAAATTTCATATAAACGTTCATTTGTTTTAGAGTTATACCCAAAACCAAAATCAATTATATTATTATATTATATTATTTATATTATTATATTATTATAAAATTCCAGTTTTTAATTAATTTTGATGTTGTTTTTCCTGGTGCTTTTGAAAATTATTGGTAATTCTAAATTTTAGAACCCCGAATACAGCAACTACATTCACTTTATCTTCGAACAAGATACTGTTGAAGAAAATCGAAGCACCTTTACTACCCCAAACCGTGATAACATACACAAAAAAAAACACACATCATTGTAAAATCAATACATTCATCACTCATCTCAGAATCTAAAATGTGTAGGTACATGTATACATATTTAAACTTTTTAATATTTGTTTATTTGTTTATTTTGTTTCACCTCGTTTTTTATATAAGATTACTCCATCACATTGTTACTTA